AAAAAAAAAAAGAAGGTTGGGAACCACTGTAATAGGAGATGGGATCCCAGAGAACTACAAGCCTGGGTAAAGGATGAGCCAGAGAATTGCACAGGTGTTCAGAATGCTGAAGGTGCAGGGCGAGGGTCTTGCTCTTGCTTCTCATGAGCTCAAGCAATCCACCTGCCTCGGCCTTCCAGAGTGCTAGGATTATAGGTCTGACCCACTGCACCCAGCCGTAATGCAGAGTACATCTGAGATGTCTGGTGGAAACAGACACAAATCTTCTAATGGGAGGAATTACTGTCTAGAATTGCCACAGATCATTTTTCAGGCAATGGGTAGTATACACACACTCATGGAAATAAAGCAATAAGAGCAAGAACCAGCAAAACAACAGAACAAAAACAAAGGCTTCAGATGGTGAAACTGTCAATCACAGATTATAATACAACATTTATTTTAAATCACATTTAAAATTTTAAAAAGTTTGGAATCACAATCAGGGAACCCAAAATTATAAAAAAAAAAAAAAGAGAGAGAGGGAGAGAAAAGGTCTAGCAGATGGGAATGGAAAAAACCAGCAATAAATTCTAGAAATGGAAAATACAATAACTAAAACTGAAAGCTCAATAACTGAGTTAAATAGCAAATTAGACACAGCTGAAGAAAGATTTATGGCACTAGCTGGGTCAAAAAAATAGCACAGAAATGAAGACCATAAAATATGAAAGGTTTTAGAGGATAGAGTAAGATCTAATATTTAATTGGCATTCCAGAATCAAAAGAGAATGATGCAAAGACGATATTTAAAGACATGATTGGAAATTCCACATTGGTAAAAGACACCAGTAAGCCCAATAATCATCAGCAGGATAAATAAAAAGAAATGTACACCTAGACACATTGAGGTAAAGGTGCTTAGCCATGGGATCTCAGGCAGTTGATTTCTCTGAAGCTCAGTATCTTAATCTGAAAAAAAGTACTAACAGTTCCTCAAAAGATTGATAGGTAAGACATGCTCAATAGTTGAATTTACCAAATACACTGAAGGCTCTTCACAGTGCAAAGCTAGGGGAGCCCAAGTTTGGAGTATGAATGAGAACTGCGGGGCGCCCTGACTATGGGACCTGGGGAAAACATCGCTTTGCCAAGTATTTGCAGTCTCACCTGTAAAATGGGTCTAATGCTCTTCCCAGATTCAAGCCCCAGACGTGCATATGCCAATGAAAATCTTCAGGCTACTTTTTGTCTATAAACTATTCACCAGCATAGGTATTTTTTGGAAGGGAGATAGGAAGTGGGGTCTGGAGCACGGCTGTGGGTGAGAATGTGGGCTTTGTAAACAACTGGCTTGAAATTCTCAGTCTCAACCTCCTCACCTGCAAAATGAGAACTGAAACTGATTTGGAGAGAGACTAAATGATTTTTTTTTTGAGACAAGAGTCTCACTCTGTTGCCTTTGCCTTTGGTTGAGTCATTGTGTCTTACAGCAACTTCAAACCCCTGGGCTCATTCCATCTTTTTGCCTCAGCCTCCCAAGTAGCTTGAAATATAGAGACTCATCATGATACCTGGCTAATTTTTCTATTTTTGTTATTAGTCTTTTTTTTTTTTTT